CTACCCACCCAACCCACCCCAGGGAGGACATCCATCACACAGTAATCTCGTGCGTGGGAAATTAACGTCTCCTACCCCAACCCTGCAGGAGACGGGACCTCCATTTATTCGTCCCTATCCGAGAAGACTAGAATATCTAACCATTTCTTGATGTTAAAGAAAGGAAGCATATTCTTCTCAATTAATTTTAAGACCCTGAGTGTTGGTCCGGCCGGTATTGAACTCTCAACCTCCCGCACAGCAGTCCGGCGCTCCCCCAATTGAGCTAACCAGGCGGCAGATAAATTTGAACAAACTGGTTCTGGTTAGACAAATAGTTTGCTAGCCAAGAGAAGACAGAACCTGATATTCTAGTGGCCTTCACTTTCTCTAACAGGATAGAATGGTTAACAGAGTCAAAGGCCTTCCGGAAGTCAGTAAATAGTACTCCCACTACCAGACCTTGATCCAGAGCTGACTTCCAAGTTTCTGTCATATGAAGCAAGAGACCCTCAGTTGAACATTTTTTTCTGAAGCCCCACCGGTTGTGGCTTAATAGGTCATGGGACTGTAAATGGTTGAATTACACACCTCTGCCTCGAGTATCTTCCCAGGAATGCTAAGTAGAGAAATCAAGTCATGATCTTAATGGAGAAACAGTGATGTTTTTGCATCCGAAGGGATGCATCTGGGATTGAATTTGTGAGTCTTTTAGTGGTAGACGTAGGACACATAGATGGATCACTGCTCTACATTTCTTCTGTGAAATTTCTTTCTGTGATTTCTTCTTTCATCAAAATGGCCAAGTGTAGGAAAGGAAGTCATTATTGTAAGGGGCTGCCTGAATAAAATGGGTGAGCAATCTGTCTCTGAGAAGAGAGAAAAAGGAGTAAACATATTTTCTCTAATGTTTTACTAAATCCTAGAAACATTATTTTATTATTGTTTCACATTACACATTGTACTCAAACTCAAATAGAGCCAGGGGCCTAACCTACTCTGCTGCTGGAGTGGACATAGATGCAGGCAACCTTCTGGTGAATGCAATCAAGCCCCTAGCTGCCTCTACAGCTCGGACTGGTTGTACAGGTGATCTTGGTGGCTTTGGAGGCTTCTTTGATCTCAAGGCTGCTGGCTACTCAGATCCATTGCTTGTTAGTGGCACGGATGGTGTTGGAACTAAACTCAAGGTAAGGATAACTGAAACATTCATAGAAAAAAAAAAGGAATTGTAGTTACATAGCTGGTTTCATAATAGAGTACCTTGACAACAATTCTTCAAGTTAAAACTTGCAAATTGCAGTTTGGCTCATTTGTGATGTAACCCTTAAAAATCCAGCTGAGATAGAAGTTTCAAATTGATTAACAATTATTAGATGAGGTTGAGCATAACAACAATAATTATCAAGGCCAAAGTTTTTGTTATCTGCTGAAGTCAAATACTGAGGCACATAACACAAACTGAGGCCTTGATAATTATTGCTGTCATGCTCAAACCAATCCAATAATTGTTTTATTATGTAGATTCCTAAGCTGCAATTGTAAAGACAAGGGCTCCTAAAACTGTTGTCTGTAGGTATGACGTCACTTCTACATACCTAAGATATATTGTCTGTAGGTAAGACTCAAGAGAATGTATAATAATATCATTTGTTTTGTGGATTGCAGATTGCTCAGACTGTTGGCATGCATAGCTCAGTTGGTATTGATCTGGTTGCAATGTGTGTGAATGACATTCTTGCACATGGTGCTGAGCCGCTGTATTTTCTGGATTACTTTGCGACTGGCAAGCTCGATGTGGGTGTGGCCAAGGAGGTGATTCTTGGTGTAGCTCGAGGCTGTTCTCAAGCAGGATGTGCTCTGTTAGGAGGTAGAAATAAAATATACCTGTACTTATAACCTCAGGTTTATTCAGGGATTGTCTAGTAGCTAGTGAAGGTTGAAATTTATTTCAGATAAATATATCTTATTAGACGTTTTATTGTGTAGTATTGCTGAGTATCTTTACGAGTTGTGAAATTTTCTGGTTGTCAAAGCTGTTTTCTTCGTTCGATTCATCTAATGAACTTGGATCTATATTTGCCAGCCATTCTGACTCTTCGCTGTTGGAAATATAATTCAAATTGTCCGCCATTTGTTTCTTTTTGTAACTACAATCCAACTCTTCGCTTGCGCGATGCAAGAAAACCTGTTTAACCGGTTCTACAATAGACGAGTACAAATACCGCGTGATATTTGTACTCGTCTATGGCGTTATTTGTACTCGTCCAGGTGTAGTTGGATAATAAAGATTGGTATTTTACTGCTTTGTCTAACTAAATAGCTGCTGTTTCAGAAAGGCATGGCTGGAAAAAAAATGTCTGTTTTCAATGTTTCTGGAGAACATTGTCAATATCTCATCATTTGCAGAGCAATCAATTTTCCATTTATTTAATTTTATGTTTGTTGTCAAATTCTTCTGTTGGTTTTAAAGAACCTACTGTTCTTTAACTCACTTATAACTAACCAGAAGTTTTTTCTTAACCTCTTCAATCCGAAGATCTCATGGGTAATTCTCCTCACTGTCTGCCATACAATTCTTGTATTGTTTGTTTGGAGAATATGTTATTGGATCAACTGATGATCCCCTTGTTCATATTTTTCTCTATTCTCATCACTTGTCAGCTTGATATTGTATTGAAGTTGTAAGGAGAAATTCTGACTTGGTCACTCACGGGAGTGAACAGGTTTCTCACAGGTCTTGTAATTGTGAGTCCAACATGCTGATCACTCAACCAAGCTACCTCCACAAGTGTTGAATATACCCTTTACACCCTAACATCAATATGCATATTCTCCACAAGTGTTCTTTACACGTTTACTATACTGACAAGAAGAACTTGTTTAACACTCAGAAGCTTCTTAAATTGGTGATCATTTCCGTAATTCTCATGACCTTTACATTTGATGTAACAATGATACTGTCAGGAGAAATTAGAAGCTGATCATCCTTAAGGGTTCAAATTAAATTTTTAAATTTTTAGCTTGGGTAAAAATTTTGTCATTTTTCATGGGGGTATTTGTCATGAGATTAATTTTCAAACTGGTGCTTGATAGGAGAAACAGCAGAAATGCCAGGAATGTACTCATTTGGAGAATATGATGTGGCTGGTTTTGCTGTTGGTGCTGTAGAACGTAACAAAGTTCTTCCAAGGACACAGGATATCATTGTGGATGATTTAGTCATTGGGTTGGCTTCATCTGGCATCCATAGTAATGGCTTCAGCTTAGTCAGGAAAATCATCGACAAGGCTGGACTGAGTTATGATTCTCCATGTCCTTTCTCAACCACTGAAGGCCTTCAGTCTGTTACTAAATTAGGTGAAGCTCTTCTTTCACCAACCAAGATTTACTGCCAGGCTGTTCTTCCCCTGATGCAAGCCAGGAAAGTTAAGGCTTTTGCACATATAACAGGTTAGATTCCTTGGAATAACTGCTCATACCTTTTTCTCATTCTACTCCATGCCTACTCATGCACATATTCGGGAAAGTAAAGATAAGTAATAAAAAGTTTGCCAATTTTTTAGGATTCAGAAAGAAAAACACTGTAGGAAAGGATGACTTTAGATATGCTTCTTTCACATTCTCTTACTCCTGCCTCCCCTCCCCTATGTCATCCTTTTTGTACTTGTTGCCAGGTTGAGCAAGTCCCTCCTAGCTATGTAGGTCCTTTCTAGTCCAGTGCCATCTAGTCTAGTCTAGTTCAGTCCAGTCCAATCCAGCTCAGTCCAGTTCACTCCAGTCCATTCCAGTTCAGATCAATCTATTATTTTTATTAAAATTTAAATCTTGTCATTATTGATAACTGTTTTTATCTCGTTAGGAGGAGGTCTAACTGAAAACATTCCACGTGTCTTGCCCCACGGCTTGGGCGTGTCACTTGATGCTAGCTCTTGGAGTATTCCAGCAGTGTTTGGGTGGATATTTGGACAAGGGAATGTAGCAACGCTTGAAATGGTACGGACTTTCAACTGCGGTATTGGAGCAGGCCTTGTTGTTGGTCAAGAAACGGCTGCCTCAGTTATGGAACATCTTACAGCATTGAATGAAAAAGCTTGGATTATAGGCAAAGTCACTGAAAATAAGGAAGACATTGATAAAGTTATTGTGAACAATCTTGAAAGTGTGTTTTGTGAGTCTGCTAGAAAGGCAAACATCAATCACCAGGATGAGAATGAAACGATTAAAGGACCAAAACTAAGTAATGTGGAAATGCACTGTAGAAAGAAAATGAAAGTAGGGGTGCTTATTTCAGGCTCAGGAACAAACTTGCAAGCTCTGATTGATCAGAGCTTGAGGCAGGACAGTAGTGCAGAGATTGCTGTGGTCATATCAAATGTACCTGGTGTACAGGGTCTAACCCGGGCTCAAACAGCTGCTATCCCAACTAAAGTAAGACTAATTCTACTGCTATGTGTGTTTAGCCTATTTTCATCTTTTTCCCCTTCCAAAATATATCTAGGCAGTTAAACAGATATGAAACCTTTACAGTGAGTTTTCTCATTTGTTGCGTTGTACAGAGGAAAGCCACTCTGTAGAAAGTCCGTAGATGGGTATTTCTAACAAGTCTCAAGGCTGTGGTCTAGCAGTGCCAGGTAGCCCCTGGTGCCTTACTTTTGCTCTTGGGCGACTTGGGAATTTTAGTTATTTTCATATAAAAGTATATGCTGAGCACCCTGTATTTCAAAGTTTTAGAGCAGTGGGCTCCCTTCGTTTTTTCCTAAAGGACAGCCTTGAGTCTCTATATGAAAAATAACAATTGGCACTTGATTCCTTTGCGGCTTTTGCTACATTTCATTTTCCGGGATGTTTTTCCTAGTTTGTGTATCATCCACTATCCAAAATTTTTGGTGTTGGAGTTATTCCTTATTCTGTCTTGAATAGAGAGGGTAAGTTTCTTAAGTGACCGTAGTGCTGTGTTGTTGGGTGTAGTAGAAGATAATGTGGTTTTATCGACTTTGAGTTGATAATTTTAATTGGCCACTGTAAAGTTCCTGAGCTTTAGAAACTAAATTTACAGCATTAATTCATTTGACAGAAACAAATTGTCTTGTATTATGTCTTGGCATAGATTGTGAGAAAACTGTTATATGCTAAATTTCTTTTATTTTTTTTTCCAGGTTATTAAGCACAAGGATTTCAAAAGCCGTTTGGATTTTGATATGGCAGTTCATGCAGCATTGAAGGAGGCTGGAGTGGAACTGGTTTGTTTAGCAGGATTTATGAGGATTGTTACGGGCGAGTTTGTTCGGAAGTGGCGCGGTCGGTTACTGAATATTCACCCTTCATTGCTTCCTTCATTCAAAGGCATGCATGCACACAAACTTGTGTTGGAGGCAGGTGTCTGTATTTCTGGATGTACAGTTCACTTTGTGGAGGTAAGCTCAGTTATAATGACATTTGAAATAATTCGTTCCTCGAACGGTACCAAAACATTACAGAGTATAGCTATTGTTGCGAATTTTTTGTTATTTTCCAATTTTCATGTGTGCACAATTGATTGCTGCTTCCATTTTTTTTTTTTTAAAATTTTGTGACTTGTGTGTAATGCATATTTGGGGATACTTCTTTTTCAAAGTGGTGCTTTTCAAAATCCTCATATTTCTAAAAACTCGATAGTGAGTAAAACTTCTCAAGAAAAGAAGAATGGTCTGGTTTGGTGGGAAAGAGTGAGTGGGCTTGCACTTTGCCCAAACTTGCCGTTTGTTTGCACTCAACTTTGTCACTTCCCACTTCTTGATCTGAGTTGGAGAACTGTACAGAATCATTGTTTTTCTGGGAAATAAGTTTTTGAGGCTATGCAAGGCAAATTTGCACTCTTGTACAACTTTTTTTCAACTTTCTCTCCTTCTTGGGGGACAGTGAATTATTGATTTATCTCTCACCTTTTGTGCTTATAATTGGAGGATGGTGGTCTTTGTAAGGTGGCTTTACCAGGTAAAAGAGATCTAGAGGTTACTATTCTTTTAGAGATTTCTGAACTTAACAATTTCAGCCATAACATTGAAAACTGACAAGTGTGGAAAAAAACTTTTGCACTGGACCTCTTCATTTTATCTCAATGCTGTCCTGAAACCATTCCTTCAAGCTTTATCTTCTCATCAGCAGAAAATCGTTTGATAATAATTGAAGAACCTATTATTCTCAACAGGAAGAGGTTGATGCAGGTGCAATAGTGACTCAAGAAGCAGTGGAAGTTAAGCACAATGACACTGTGGAAACACTGCAAGAAAGAGTGAAAACTGCTGAGCACAGAGCATACCCACGGGCTATGGAACTGCTAGCAAGTGGCAGAATAAAACTAAATGACCAGAACAAAGTTCAGTGGATGTGGTAGGTGCCACTGCACAAGACTGTTTGAACGGTTGTGTATTTTTAAAAACTGCATTAGTAATGTAATAAGCTGCATGCATTCATTGAATGAAGGACATGAAATATTACTAGCATTAATGCATGCTTGGCTTCATACAAGGTGGTGTGTTAACAAAACTGATAAAGTATCTATGTAAAATATTTCAATGACTAGAAATATTATCATGACTGGAAAACATTTTGATTCAGTTGACAATGAATTATATAAGGTAAGTCCTAGTTGAATACATAGTCCAACAGGGGTAAAAAACAGAGTTAAAAGTTAGATGGTAAGAGTTTGGATGTGTCTCTACCATTTGATGATTCTCTTCCCCTCTTGCATGCCCCTTTTGCACAAATGCCAACTATGAGGTGTTTAACTTCTCTTTATTTTTAATTGAAACATCTTGACACCAAAGATGAAGTACATAACACATGAACTGAAGACTTTCTAATAATAAAAAATTCATAAACTTGTGGGAAAAAGTGGTTTTGATTTACTGATTAACTTGAATGTAGACCTCGTCCTTCACTCAAATCCTAAATGACAGCTTAAGAAAGCAGTTTTGTGAAAATCAAACTCAAGTTTTGTTTCCTGTTGTATCAATAGAATCCATATTTATGACTATCTTTCCTCTGGCATGTCCACCTTCTAGTTTTGCATAAGCTTCTTTTGTCTTCGAAAATGGGAACACTTCTTGAACAACAGGCTTCATCTTGGGCATATGAAATGAAAATAAAAATAACTCAATCAAAGTTATGTTCTGTGTCCTTCAACTGATAGTGCAACATTGTAACTTAAACCCATTTCCATGTTTCGGGGAATATGTATTCAAATTTTAACAGGCACTGTTATGAGCTGGGTGAAAATACAACTAACTCACCACAATCCCTGATGAAATAAGAATAGTCAAGGTGACACAATGATGAACTCTTACAATATACAGTGATTGTAAAAAAAAAAAAAGCCAATAATCCTGTGATTTCAAGAAACAGAATTGAACCTCTTAGAAGTAAGGAGGGTTTGAGTTGCCTGTGGATTAGTATTCAATTCGACATTAATTCACAATCAGTCCACTACCTTTAATAAGATGCATGCTCTCTCCCCAGACTCATATGGCTATGTTGACCCCATCTAGTTTGCATATTTATTCCCCAATTACCTTATTCCTATATGAATATCTACTAGTAAAATGGTTTTGACTTAATTTAGCAGTGAACTAAGTAAGATTACAATCTAGATTTTTTGTAAAGTAATACCATTAATAAATGCACTGGTCAAGCCTTCATCTAAAATCATATGTGGTAAAAAAAAAAAAAAAAACTAATGAGTTTCCAGGGATGTAGAATCAAATATGTACTACATACCATCCCAGACAGACACAGTGAGCAGATGTGATCCAGTGCTGGACCATTTGGACTAAAGAAACCCCAAGAAACTAAATTTCCATAGCATAGTGCCTGTAGTTAAAAAAAATACTCTATTAACAAAGATCTGATGAACACTTGAGCCTAACATCATTCCCCTTCACCTTTGTGTTCCTTTGTTTGCTATAAGCAAACAACACTGTTGTCAAATTAAAGAGAAATATATAATGTAAAATTTGTACCAGTTTAACACTCATCAGAAGTGATTAACAAATAACTTCTCCCTATAATTTCCATACATTATCCAGCAAACAGGTAGCAAGAATTCTCCAATGTATTATTTAGAAGTTATCTTAATCAAATCCATAAGGAAATGTGTATCAGCTAGGGGGAAGAATTGACAATTAGATTCTTGGAGTTGAGGATTAGGTTTTTCTCTACTATCAAATATTTCATAATTTTACCTCTGGAATAGCAGTTGATGCTAAATTTTGCCCTGCAGACAGGAGTCCTAGACCAGTACCTAGTTTATCAGTATTGTTCAGGACAGGTGGGGCTAGTGTCACAAAAACCGATCCTTTCCAATTTGAAAGCAGTCTGGCATACTGTCTGCCCACATCTCCAAAAGGATCAAGAACTACATCAAAACTGAAAACAAATTAAGAAACTTCACATGAAAATGACAAATAAGCTTTGGCCATTATGAACTGCACTTAGAATGAAATGCCATGATTATGTTCAGCAAAATGCTACATACATAGCTTACAGCCTTGAGTAAACAGATGGTCTTATGAAAGACCAATTGAAAGGTGTTGGAAAAAGGAGTATTGTAAGCGACTGGACTTACACCTTGGAACTGATAATCACATAAGTATTTCAAAGTGCACCTAAACCCCCAATTTTTTTTTTTTTTTGCTTAACGAAATAAGCATATTTTTTTGGAGTATTTCTGTGCAAAAATTGTTTTATTTGCTCAAATCTTCAATTTTCTGTGCCCAGTCAAAATATGGAAAAGCAGCGGCCATTTTGGCTCATGACCTAGTTTAAAGAGGAAGGGTTCTAGCGGGTAATGCAACGTCAAATTGAGAACACGAAAGTCTGCATTTCACACATTTTCACTTGTTTGGGAAGGTTGTTGTCGATATTGTCCGAAATATGCCGACTAGGTGTCTTGTATGAGGAATGTATGAAGCGCAATACCCTCTTGTAAATTTCGCATTTTGCTACATCCTCCTACAACTCACTTAGTCGGCATATTTTCAGACAATATCGACTACAACCTTCCCAAACAAGTGAAAATGTGGGAAATGCAGACTTTCATGTTCTCAATTTGACGTCACATTACCCGCTAGAACCATTCCTCTTTAAACTCAGTCGTGAGCCAAGATGGTGGCCGATTTTCCATATTTTGACTGGGCACAGAAAATTGAAGATTTTAGCAAATAACAAAATTTTTGCATAGAAATACTAAAAAAAGCCGCTTATTTCCTTAAACAAAAAAATTTGGGGGTCTAAGTGCACTTTAAAACTTGCTTGTCTTTAATGCTCATACTCTGATTCGAAAATGGAAACTGTTATAGGTATCAATTTACAAACAAGGAGAAATTTGAGATCCACTCATTCTGTTTAAGAATGTTTTGTAACTGAGCTGTGTCATGGGCCAGATGAACTCTTTCAAGTGGTGCTTGTTTAAGTGAATTTAATAGACATGTTTTGATCCTTGAACTCCTGGTCTATATAAATAGTAAGGACCCATAAGCACATAGCTTGGCAATGATGTCATCTATGTTTGCCCCTGTGGTGAGATAGCCAAATAGATGTCCCAAATTTCATTAGTCTACCATCCAATGAAATCTCATTCAGTTTTGCATTGTGCTACATTCTACTTGATCAAACCCAATACATCAAGTTCTCACCTTCCAGCCATTTTCAGTTCATCTTCTAAGTTAGATGCAGTGTAATCAACTACATGATCTGCCCCAAGACCAGCCACAAGCTCAACAGCATCACTGGAACAAGTGCTTACAACGTATGCCCCCCAGGCCTTTAACAGCTATGAGAAAGGAACAGAGAGAAGGCCTCTGAGTGTGTACATGCTCTGCCACCACAACACCATACTCTCCTCTGTGCTCAATGCCTGAGATTACCACCATTAACATAAAAATTTGACAAGTACTGCCCAGTAATACCTGTATGGCAAAGCTTCCTATTCCACCTGAACCACCAAGGACAAGAACACTGAAAAAAAGACATGACATTATTATCCACTTTCTGGACACTTACTACTACCAATACACACCCCACGGTACAACCTTCAACAGACTTTGAGAGCAAAGACGTTAAAGATTTATGAACACATTTTAACCTTAAAAGTTGAAGTTTCTAACCAATACTGACCTGTATTTCCCAAAAGACTAACAGACATGTATTTTTCAATGGTTATACATGTATATACTGTTTTATTCGTCAATGAGCCGAGACCCTAAACTTTATTCTGTTTTAATCTGGAAGGTTCTTAGAACATGTAAACTGAAAATACTCGGCTGTAAGCTGAGGCCATATTCAGAGAATTCCATTCTCGAACAAACTGAAATGAACGCAAAAGTTTCGAAACAGAAAAGAGTTTTAGTGCAGTATTGCTGTCAAAAACAATTCTGAGATAACCAGAGAGTAAGTCATCAGAGTTGCTAGAGGAAAGATCAAGAGAATCTCTTTAATGGAGAGCTCGAGATGTCAGTGAAACGCAACGATGGGCCATTACACTCCAAAACATCCACAGCTGGATGAGAGATTACTTTACTGGTTTACAGAGCAGAGAAGCCAAGTGAATGCAAGTTTTCTTTTTACGTGATTCGCAAATTTCAACACCGTAACATGTGACGAGTTGTTTACCAATCATGGGAATGGGCAATTCTGATTGGTCAGTTTCGAAATTCTTAAAACACTTTGGCAAGATCTATACACTTGTTCAAAACCTGCAGAATCTCTAAAATACTCTAGACAGCATGGAAGACAAAGTAATCTACTCAGAAGAAATGNTGTATCTATCTATTCATCTATCTAATAGCCACATCAATGTCTATTGTATCTATTTATCTATCTAATAGCCACATCACTGTCTATATTGTATCTATCTATTCATCTATCTAATAGCCACATCAATGTCTATTGTATCTATTTATCTATCTAATAGCCACATCACTGTCTATAATGTATCTATCTATTTATCTATCTAAAAGCCACACCACTCTGTCTATTGTATCTATCTATTTGTCTATCTAATAGCCACATCACTCTGTCTATATTGTATCTATGTATTTATCTAATAGCCACATCACTCTATCTATTGGATCTATCTATTTATCTATCTAATAGCCACATCAGTCTGTCTATATTGTATCTATCTATTTATCTATCTAATAACCACATCACTCTGTCTATATTGTATCTATCTATTTATCTATTGATCAATCAAGATCATTTGTTTAAATGTAACCAAAACTGTATCTTCCTGTATGCATCGACTTAGTCAAGTTAATCGTACCAAACATATTTTTTAACAAACATACCCTTCTGACGATTATTAATTCTTTAGTTTTTTGGCAAATTGTTTTATTGTTCAAGTGTATGGTCAAATACCTCCATGTGCAACATAAGGAAATTACAGAGCATACAGAACTTTGCCTGTCGCATTGTTTGTGGTGTGCGCAACTACAAGCATGTTAAGCCTCTTCTTAAAGAACTCAACTGGCTCCAAGTGGCAAATAAACTATATCTTCGCAACACCATAATGACTTTCAAATGTATGACAGGACAAGCTCCAAAAAACCTCTCCTCCCAATTTATCAAACGCGACGAGGTCAACAGTTGTAAGACCAGAAACTGCCAAATGTTGCATATTCCCCTCTTTAAAACTAGTAGTGGTCAAAAGACCCTTTATTTTAGATCAGTTAATATTTGGAATAATCTTGAGCACTCTTAAGATTATTGATTCCACACACATTTTTAAGCATCACTTAATACAATACGCAATAATTTTTGTAGATTAATATTATGCATTACATATTATATTGTATTGTCATTATTAAATTGTATTGTCATTATTAAATTCTATTGTCATTATTAAATTGTATTTATTTAGGATATTGTCTTTGAAAAGCCTCATTGGGGAAAGTCAATAAAGTATGTATGTATGTAATCTATCTAAGGACAAATACAAAAAAACTTGGACCAAGTTTCTAAATAATCCTCATGTAAAAACAAACACCACTTTCCCTAGAACTATTTTGACAGGACATATCTATTATTTAACTAATAGCACAAAGCACGAGGGGATGTACCTTGAAACATTCAGAAAACTTTTCAAGGTCACCCATAGTTATAGAGAATGAATATTCAGGGTGATACCTCTGACACAACTATATCATATAGTTTCCTGTCCTTGGCAATGAAAAAACATAAAGGTGCTATCTACCTTAACCAGCCCATCCAAGATGATAAATAATTTCTTAATGAGATAAATTTCATCTGACTTGCCAATGAAAAACATGCGAAAAACTGATCCTTGCGAGTGGAGGGCATTTAAGCAATTGCAGAAAAGACCAGATTCTAAATTCCTGCCCCAGAAACTAGTTTGGCACAACTCATTTCCATATAATGTTTTCAACTTTCCTTTGTGCAATTACTTTAGATGCTTTACTTGCCTTTTTTTGTGGCACTCGTTTGGTTTAAGGCCTGCTCTGCTGACCAGAGCTGTCCACACTGTGCATGCTACATATGGTAGAGATGCTGCTTCTTGGTGGGTCCAGGTCAAAGGTTTCATGGAGATCTACTGTTCAATATTCCATGACAGAAAACAAAGCTTTTAATACCAACAGCAATGAATTGATCTACAATTCATCAACATTTTTTAAAAAATAAACTAGAATCAAATTACCTCATCTTGGCTGGCAACTACAAATTCAGCATGTGTCCCTCCAGAAATTACACTTGGAGTTCCCCAAACCTAGGCAAAGGTGGAGAATAACAAATTATTTAGTCTAAACTGTACAAAAAATCAACTAAATCAGTCACCTTGAAACTTTGACATCCTCTACCTCATCGTTGGTTATATTTGAGGCGCCTCTTGTAATCTTCTCAAAACTTATTTTAACTTGGCATTTAGTATATTTCAATGAACAACTCAGCTCATTTCAGATTTCATACTTATTACAATAGCAACTACAGCCAAATTGAAACGTGTATTAATAATCATTACAAGTTTGACAGTCTCTCGCCTTGGAACACCATGCACTGTCTATTCACAGTCAGCCAACCAAAGCAAAATTACAGCTTCGTGCTTGAAAAAGATAAGTTTAGTGTACACGATATTTTACCTCATCCCCTTTTTGAAATCGTCTGGCCAACCTTCCTGTTTTCAACACTTCCCCGGAGAAATCTCTTCCTAAGATCAGCGGAAATTCGTCCACCTTTTCAGCCTTACGCCATAAATTTAACAAAGTTTGACCGTAACCACTTCGCATTCTGTAGTCTATTGGATTCACAGAAGCAGCGCGTACACGTATTAAGATATCTGTTGGTCTTTGAAGCTTGGGTAGTGGTACATTTCTCAGTTCTAAAACGTCGTTGGAACCATATTCGTCAATAGTCCATGCTTCCATTGAACGGGTGATGCAAAGTGAACGTGAAAAAGAAAGTATACAAGAACGCAGATATTTAAAACATGTCGGATGATTTGAAGCAAGACTTCGGCGTAGGGGACGTACAGCGCAGTTGGACAACATTCTGTTCGCATCAATCAAATTATTGACGATCTGGGTTCACTACTCTCCTAACTACCGATGAATTAAATTAGAACCTAACGTCTGCCACTCTGCAACTGTGAAAAACCAAAGCATTTTCGCCGAAAGCGAACCTGATCATTCGAGTCGCCATCTTGTTTCAACAGATCCGGGCGCGGCGTCGGTGCGGCTACTTGACAGTCTGCAATAACAGTGCAACCACAGGTGACCTACGCTCTGTCACAGGCTCTTCACAGTGGATTATTAAAGAGTTTGTATAGTGATTTAGTTGGACTTGCTTTTGAGCTCCGTAAATGTAAAGTTGTGTGAAATAATCAAAGAAATAAAGTCTTACCTTCATAGAGAGTAGTCTGTGTTGTTCTCCTCGCGATTTGAGGCCGTTTTGAAGTTTTAGCTTGACGCCCTAATCACCACCGAGTCAGCGTATCGCTGAATATTTTTACGAGTTGTGTTGTATTTTGACGAGCCCATAGGGCGAGTCAAAGTACGAACAACGAGTAAAGATACACAGCGATACTGCACAACAAAACGTCTAATAAGAGATTTAGTATCCAAGACGCCGGCGTACGCCAAATTGTTATTTCAGTGCGGGAAAATTTCGCGGATACTTGTTTTGTGACTTACTTCTGCATGCAATATCTCGGCTTGTAGACGAATATATATGTTATATGTATATATATGAATATATATGCTTCGCGTAATATTTGTACTCGTCTCGGGCGCTTTTTGAACTCTGCAAAGCACAGTTGGATAATAATGACCAGTTATTGTAATGTTCTGGTCTGCACAGCTTCTCTGAATCAAAATATAAAATTGGTGCTTTAAGGATGAAATAAGATGGGTTACGATTTTTATGGTCCATGGTTGTTTGTTAACTTTTTTTTTTTTTTAATTATTTTGTTGCTCTAATGGGCTCACCAACTTCAACGAAAAGATACCGAGATGCCCCTCGAAGGAATTTCTTTTTCTTTTTGTTTCCTTTTTTCAACTCCCTTAGGAATGAGAAAAAAGCCTTCAATTCATGCATAATACTTACATTGGCGAACCATAAATCTCAAATTGGGAATAAGAAATATTGTTTTTGAATACAAACAACTCATTCATATCACATTAAATGTTGCGATCTTTAATCACTGCGTAACAACCATTCACTAAATTTAACCCTATTGCTTGGTTTGGAGAGCTGCCAATGACGTAAGAGATATCATCTACCCAAATGCAACAGACCAATCAAAACACAGAGCCAACCGGTGGGAAAGCGCGGCGATGTGGTAATACTACCAACAAAAAGCGCGGGAATTGTCATCTTCACTTCACGCTACGCTTCTAAAGCTTCATTGGCCTGGGTCGACAACTCCACTTTTTGATTGGTTAAAGCAAAAAAACGTTTGCTATGATAATGGGCATTTATAAAGAGTGAAATAAATGATGAACCAAAAGCAAACCCTAAAGCAGTGATTTCTCCTAGACAATGAACTACCTCTAATAAATACTACTCATAAATACCAAGATTTAAAAACTTCTAGCCATTTTCTTCACAGGGTCAAGCGTGTGATATTTGAAACAACTCAAATACTTAAGTTTGGCATAAATTTTACCCCTTAAAACCAATATTTTCTCCTTAAACGGTGCCTTTCGGTTTGATCATTTCTCGTGCGTACAAATACTGCCACATAGGACGCCGAGCCTTAGTTCTCGTGATTCCGATATTTCACGAACCCCATCCGACTACAGTCCGAGTAGTTGTTATACTCTCCGCACACGACAGGCTTCCAGCTCTGACGTTATCTGTACGCACGAACAATTACCTTATTTTCTTCTGAAGAGTGCGGTACAAATTCAACTAAATCTTACAAATATGGAACAACGGATGACAAACCAATTACAATGCAATAGTAAAATTGTCATCACTTTAGATAATAAATTCGTAACTCACATTCACGTTTTAGATGATTACTCAAGTTTCTTCTAACTCGTGTCACTTCAATGATGTCAAAAGGAAAGAAACTTAAAATGCAGCACAAATACAACAGCAATACCAGAGAAATTCGGAAAGACACGTTTTCTCGTCCGCTTGAACGCCAATTCAAATTTCCTCCACGTTTTTTTTAACACTGAACACTCACCCCACTTGATCTCGTTGCCAGATCTCTCACGCTCTGGATATTGATTCATGCCTTGATCTGACCATAACTTCCAAATCATGCCATAAACCCTATTTCCACTCAACACTTTCCGTTGCCAATTCTATAACTAATCAGGTCATTCGTTCCTCCACGGAAGAGATCCATTCCTAATTTCTCCTCGAAAGAAAAAAAAATCTAGGACAATTTGATAACGTACCGACCTAAAGGTTACAGTCTCCAAATCGGAAAATCTGTACGGATAGTCGTACTATGACGTCACGATTTAAAGCGTCATTGAGTTGAATACAAAACAAATGCTTCCTTGGAAGCAAGAAATCAAAAACAATTTATAATCTCTTGCCAAGATGTTAACACTCTAGATTAATGATCTTAAAAATATAGCATTTAAATCTAACCTTATATCAAAACTATTAGCATCTGCCACCTTGGAAGGCATTTTACTTTCACAGAGGCGTAGTTTTACAGTTCACATTTAAATTTACACTGGGTCGCGTTTGTTGTATTTACAAGCATCTGTTTATGATGCGATCATAAAAATAGTAATTTAGAATTCGAAATGTTCTCAAATTGAAAACGTTTTCCTGATGCAGAACTACGTTAAAAGAAAACCTACGTCTAGTTTCCTTTTTCGTGCAGGCATTACTAAACTGATTCTGCAGAATTTGGGTTTGAAGATTTTCAATCGTGTTGTATGTTTTGTAGTGAATTCATTTTTAGCCGATAAATATGACACGTCAAAAGTTGATTTTGTTGCGGAGACACATTGGTCAGTAGATAGCATTTCGCTGATTCCTGCCAGCACTGAGATGGAAACATTTAAGCAAAAAAAAAATTGTGTGTATAAAAATAGGAAAAACTAAACTTCTAGAGAAGAAACTTGAAAATTTTACAAAAGCCACACCAATCGAACAACAAGAAACCAACCGAAATATCAAAATGAGGAATAACGTCACGGCATTCAGAGACAAAAAAAGATCTTGACTGAGGAAATTGTAAGAACGATATGAATTTAAAAAACAGACGCAAATAAATAAAAAACAAAAACAAAAAATGTCTAGCACGAGGAAATCATAGAAATGGTATAAAACACACACACACACACACACACACACACACACACAAAACAAAAAACAAACGAACAATAATTCAAATAGTTTGTTAACTTTCTCTGAGGCGGTTTCACAATTTCTTGACTACTTTGGCAAGCACTTTAATTAAGCTGGCTTCACAACATTTCCAAACAAGGAAATAAGCTTCCAATGCTAAACTTTCCAAAACGCGTTGGTTTTGGCGAAAGTTCTTGCTTGAAAGGACTCTAGCTGATGGGGAAATGCTAACTGTGCTTTATCCAGTTAGCCAAATTAGTGAAGGACCAGGTTTAGGTAATCTAGAGCTGCGCTGTCTGTTCTATCCCGTTCGCGAGGAAAATGACTTGAACTCAAAGTGAACTGGGCACAACAACCGCCACTGTTCGAAAAATGAGCTCCTATTCCTTCCCAGAAGTCTCTTCTTGGGAAGAAACACTAAGGTCGGTAGAATTCGAGCCTAGATGCGAACGGGACACAATTTATGACTTAGTGGCTTAACAAACAAATCTTGCGACATCAGACCACCCCACCTGTTACCATGATTACATGTCATCTTACATAAGTGAGACCAGCGGTCAACGCGGGCTAATCATTACGTCACGATTGCGTCATCGGGCTATCTCGATTGCAGCTACACGTGACCCTCATACAATGGAACCTATGTGTGCACCAGTGAGCCTTTTGACATTCCAAAGTACAATAGCTTGTGTTCCAACAACAAGGATAAAAAGCCTCGGCACGGCAATTCGCACACCACTGTTTCTTCTTGGCCAAGCTGACTGCCTCTTGAACTGATTTGTCAGCCTCATCCTTGGCAATCTGCAGTGCTTTTTGAGTATGCCTGTCTCTTTCCTGTTTACACTTATCTACAGCTTTCTTCACTGCCTCTTCTGTAATACGTTCTCGTTCCAGTCTCTCCTTATTAACGGCTCTCTTCACAGCCTGCTGTATGTCACGCTCCCTGTTCTTTTGAGTGTCACGCGTGACTTTGTCTATAATTTCTTTCTTTTCTTGTCTCTCTCTTTCGAGCGCATCTTGTAACATTTTAATAACACTTGACTGATCCCTTGTCATGGACAAGTCAATAGTTGGGCCGCTACTGCCGCAGTTCTCAGATGTTTCCCTCTGTTCACTCACAGATTTGTCACGCAACACTCGTTGATCTTGTTCCTCCTTCTTCTTTTTCGCTCCTTCGACCAGTTGCTTGGCGCGCTCCCGCTCGCACTTCAGATCCGCCTGGAGTGATTTTAGTTCCTCTTCTTGCTGCCGAACCTTTTCTTCCAACTGTTTTATCTTTTCTTTGTTTTCCTCATTCAAGACTACATCCGTCTGGCATTCCTTGGTCTCGGTTTTCAACAAAGGGGGATTTTCCTGAAACAGAGTGATTCCTATCAGTTCTGGACGCTTTAAGACCGTCTAATGCCATAATCAAAGAAATCACAACAGAGAGGCCTCTAAGAACTTAAATGACTACATGTAAACTGCTTCAGGCACGGCTGAGCAAATCACTTTTGGTTTATATTTGTCTCTAATTTGTTCAGAAGGAAGAGTGAATTCTTTCGACCACGAGGCGCTGCGAACAGAACGAACAAAATCCCAGATTATGATTGCTTTTGGTACTTGACTAAAAATATCAATCATGTCGACAAACCAAAGGAACTCCAACTCTTTCAATGCTCTCTTTGGACGATTCAGGAAATCACAACAAAGCGAAGCATCATATACCTTTTTATTAGCGTCCGGGTCGAGCAAACCTAGTTGCCTCTGATATTCTTTCATTTCATCATTGGCCTGGACCCATCTTTGAGAACGTTTCTTAACTTCCGGCTTGCTTGTGATTGGCATCACGTGTTTCCGGCCGACCCAGGCCCTATTGGTTAAAACCGAACAAATAACTTTTTCAATTGTCTTAAGCTTAACTGAACTGTTCAAGGTTAAAAAAAAACAAAACAAAACAAAACAAAAAGCAGCAGAGCAAATAACAATTTCAGCTATCATGTACTCAACTGGATACCTTTGATGTGCAGCCCCAAAGAATCGCACAAGAGCTTTCGTCTTATCATCGTTCCAGCTTAGCAACTGAAATAAAAATCATATAAACTTTGCCAACATGTTATCATAACAACACACACCATGTTTCTGTATAGTTGCCTATTTATATCACTGTTGATGATAATTAAAGAATTGCAATATCGTTTCTGCAACATTTGACAGGCCTGATAGTGTTTGCGGCATATCTTAGACTAATAATAACAATAATAAAGCATTTATACAGCGCTAAGCTCGACTAGTTCTCCGTGGCGCTTTACAAAATTATAGACTAATTAACATAGCAATTAAATTATAAAAAAATCGTATATTAAAAAGCGTCTTTGAACAAGTATGTTTTAAGGTTCTTCTTGAAAATTGCAACAGATTGAGATGTTTTCAGGGAATATGGTAAATCTAAAAGGATTGAGTTTTTTCTGAGGCTGAAAAGAAAATTAGATCACCTTACCTTAGCAGGCCATGGCGGTTCCCCTGTCATCTTTGCCCATACAAGCTCATGAGGGAAATACTGTGATTTAAAAAAAAAAAGCCAAACAAAAAAAAAAAGAAAGAAAAAAAAAGAAAAGAAAGGAGAGGAAGTTCCTTTCTGAGTTACTGATCTAAAAATTATTTACAACAGCTAAAATGATAGTGTACTCTGATTTTCCGGGTAAAGAGACTCCTGAGAAGGGCTGCTGTCAGTGATACTAGTTTTGACTGACATTTCAACTACCTGCACAGAAGCCATAATCTGACAACAACAACAACAACAACAACAACAAAAACAACAACAACTTTATTTGCACCCCTTGAAATAAATTAAATTTACATTACAAAAAAGTAATAAAACAAATAAAATAGAGTGCATGGCTGCCCAAAATAACCACCAGGCTAAGAGAATTGAGCAGCCATTCTTAGGATTTTAAATACTGCAATGACTAACGGTGTCAGGTACTTAAGAGTTCTTAAAGTAACAGATATAACAAACACAGAAACACAAACAAAAACTAGTTACAAGCTAAAAATACAAATTAGCAAAAATAAGCAGGAAAATACAGTATGTATAGGCAGATTAACTAACGGAAGAAAGAAAATGTATGGTATAATTAAGTCAGTAAGTAACTTGCAAGAATACTTGATTTTAACTTTTTTTCTGAGTCAAGTAAGAGTTCTTGTTACTAGTTCATGTACACCAAATGAAGAGGAGAGGAGTGGAGTGGAGAGGAGTCTGTTCTACTAACTGAAATGTGACACAAAGATATTTTGCACAGTCAACCAAGTGAAACTAAATTACGTTTCTGTCTGCAGTTTTATTGTGACTTTTGACATCATTTTGGCTGGGTTACTTATTGTTTGTTTTTGTGTACTTTCTCTAAAGGAAAGGCATTTGCCATTTCTAATGTTACTAAACTCCTTAAAATTAATGATGATTGTCATGTATGACATGACGTAGTGAGCATAGATAAGTTTCGCGTAGGTTTACATCAAGGAGGAGAATAAAGGAGCACATGGTCGACTAGTGTGTTAACTTCATTCATGAGAACTTCAAGGCGAGTAACCCTCCAATTTATGAATTAGGACGACACAACAATGATGTAGTCATAGGCTTAATATAAAATGGAAAAGCTCTTAAAATTATCATCAAACCCTGAAAATTAAACAATTAAAAATAATACTTACACAAGGTTTGCAGAACCAATTTTTAGTTCGTAAATTTGACATCAAGTAACAGTCTGGACATCTAACCATCTCTTCAAGCTAAAATTTACGAAAAAAAAAAAAGACAATTAAAAGAAATTTAGCATGTGGTGACAAGGCTTCCTTGACAAAGGCTAAACTAAATTGCTTGCATTAGGTACCCACCTCTCCATCGCAGTCTTCCATGATGGCTTCTGCAAGATCAGTGATCTCATCGTCATCTACAATGCAAAATAACCCTTCAATCAAATTCAAAGTTAAGTTTCCAATAGGAAGTGGACTACTGACTGGGTACTGAAAGACTTACAGCTCTTGTCCAGCTTATGCAACCAACCAGTAAGAAAAGTCCATTCATAAAGAGAATTTTTATGTTTTATCAGAACTTTCCAGCCAAATACTTTTTCCATTGGATCATTTCAAATTGAATGGTCTGTGACCTGACTGAACCAACAAATCTTCAACCAAGAAGCACACTAACACTAGTATGCTTCAAGATACATACTATTTGTTTTGAAAACTCTGTTCTGTGCTTCAAGTGCATTTCTTTATTACCTCCAAAATAAACGATTGCATTGTGAAATATCCACTGAGATTCTTCCCTGAATTCTTTAGGAGACTTGAACGTTTTCTTTTCAACCAGCTGTGAAATAAAATGCAACATTGCATCACCTGATACACAAAATATTTATATATCGCAAAAACCTATTATAAGCTGCACCTGAATTTAGCAGCTCAAATTTTGGAAAAAAATTTTTTTGAAAGAAATCAAGGAAATCCAAAGTTGAGTCTTGAGAAGTCTTCTTCATCCACTGTTCATTGAACGTAAACTAACCATTAACATTGCAATGGGAAATACTTCAGTCTTACCCACAATTTGAGCACTTTAATATGATAATTGATCTTTTTCTTGGTATTTGTTGACAGGAATTTCTTCATTCAACACAGTTTTTCCATAGATTTTTGTTTTACAACAAGAAAGTGAACAGAATATTCAAAGCTTAGTAACCAACCATTTGATTGGACGCAAAAATGGAAAACGGAAATTGGCGTTGACTTTCACAACACCTTTTTCAAATGTTCCCACAGATATGCCACACCCCCAATTTCTAGCGATGATTTTTCGAAAAAAAGTGCAGCTTATCGACAAGTTTTTATGGTAGATAAAATCTATGCATTAATTCATACATCTTTTAAAATCATCTAGCACATATTCCAGAACACCGAGTGAAATTTTACACCACTGAACCAGTGAAGTGAGATTTATAATTGAAATTGATTCATCCTCTAAAAATCATATAGCTGGGCAGTGACATGTCTTAAACATTTGTTTGATTGTTTCTTTTTCCTCAGTAGTTGAAAGTCAAGGTTCATCAGAGACTTTCAGTAGCCAGCCACTAAAACACTGCTCAACAAAGGTTAAAATTATTTTCTGATCAAGAACCCTATTTTACAACTTTACCTGATAAAAGCAGACTTCTTTCAAGAAAAGCTTGCAAAAACAGTTAACACTGTGAAAGCAGCATGTACTACAAACCTTTTCTAACTTCTTAAGATCCATTGGTTTAAATATGAAGTCCTCATAGTCTGGATGCTCATCTGAAGAAATTGGCTCCATCAATTCCTTGGCCTGCCAAAGACAGTCACTTATTTTATTACATCATGTACCTGGCTATAAATTACAGGTAAAGTAAAAGTAAAGTCAATTTACGAGCCAAGTGGCCCATCAAGTGGACTCTTAAGTCTGGTTTCTGTACCATGAAGTGACTAGGAGTATTCCTACCCCCCCCCCCCTGGATGGGACGCTAGTCCATCACAGGGTTACCCCCCAGCATTAAATTTGACTGTACCCTGGGTGAAGAGAGGCACTGTGAGAGAACAGCATCTTGCCTAAGAATGCAACACAATGTCCCTGGCCAGGGCTGCAACCTGGAACACTGGATCCAGAGTTGAGCACACTAACCATGAGGCCACTGTCACTCCCATTAAGTACAGAGATAATCCTGTTTCTAATGTACAACTTGCTAGAAGGAGGATTACATGAAAACGTAGCACTACCAATAACAATTGTTGCTTTAGTCAAAAGTTCCCTCAAGAGAAAGCTAATGTTTCAGTAGAATCACCAATGATATAAACTCGATAAAAATGACTTGATAACTTGATGTCTTTCAAAAACTTGACAACTTGTTAACAATCTGATGACTTGCTACAACATGCTCATGCAATTGAGAAGGAGTGGTACAGCTTGTAACATGAAGTACGAGTTGACCCCAAAGAATGTCTGCCAAAATTATTATAAGCAGTTCTCAAAGGGAAAAGGACATCAGTTTCTGTCACATAAACTTAAAAAACAAAACAAAACAACTAACAAGCAACCCATCACATGATGAGTTATGATGACTGATTTCAATCAAGTCACTGCAATGTTATCCATCCTTACCCCCACAGTAACACAGCACAGTCAAGCCTTGCTTGTATATTTCCAGAAAAAAATGAGAGTGGCCTTCTTGTCCAAGAAATCAAAGTTTGCTTGCTTTCACACTTTCCTTTAAATATTATTACCTTTGAGGGGCAGTTATCATTTAGAACTTCCACAACCCCTTCCTAGGGTTTATGTGGGTTTTAAAAAAAAAACACAATGAGTTACCTTTTCTTTCATTCTCTCCAGAGTAAATTTCAGCAATTTAGCAAGCTGTTCTGGTGTCTTGTTTGCCATCAAGGCAGAGAGCTTTTGGGGCTGTAATCACAAAAACAGCAATGATTACAGTTAAAATAACATCAACAAAAGCTAAGATTTGTATTTAACTCAATAGGGTGGCTCTGGCAGACATTTCAATGATAAAATGAAAATGGGTCCTTCAGCAGCCTTACAGCAAGTTACCAGTCCTATGAAGTCCCTTCCATTTCTGAAAAAATCCTCTCAACAGATATCAACTAACTTGAAGTTTACAAATAAACCTGATACCATCCCATTCAACCTAAACAATAATATATAGATTTAGCCAAGCCTAAAAGTGGAGGTCCCAAGTTCGTAATATTAATGATAACATAAGAGATGTGCATTTGCCAAGACTCGCCTGAGACACCCTTCCCTTCGTTTTGATAGACTCCCCTACCCTACCCATGCAATCTGAAGGCACATACATATGTACATACGCTCAGTCAGTCACGTGACAACCAAACGAAAAGAGGTTAACCATATTTCATGGGTATGGGGCTCTGCCCCACGTGCGCAAAGCGTGCATGGGAGACCCGCTGTGAATTATGTGCCCAGTGTTCTCCTTTACTTTGAGAACAATGGCTTCAAGAAATTTTCAGACTGGTGGAGCAGTCCTTTTACGTATTGAATTTTCAAGAATTTCTTGAGCAATTGCAGGCAGTAAGACGAGATAATGATACTCTAGGAATAAATCGTATTGGTTACTGTCTGAAAAGAAGAACACTAAGTACCACTCTGTGGCTCAAAAGTGCAGGAGTCTAACAGTTGCATTAAGTGACCAGGGGTCCGTTTCTCGAAAGTCCTGGTAACTTACTGGGCCCGTAAAGCAGTTCTGTTTTCATTCAAGATGGGGATTTCAAAAGTTTTGAAAATGAAACAATAAAACTATCAGCTAAAGAAACAGAAGGGACTGGTTTAGGTACCAAAACCTGGTTTCCTATCCTTTAAATTTTGAATTTAGAACATGGCTTCGGGCCCGTTAAGTTACCAGAACTTTTGAGAAACAGGACCCAAGGATTTTGCTATTCTCCTTGACANAAGTCTAACGCACGGCATTCACGGAAAACAGCTTTAGTGTTATAGTATGTAGTTTTAATTTTAAATATCTTAGCGTATGTGATATGTATTTTTATAGGCTGATGAATTGATCGTGTCTAAATAAAGATTACAATACAATACAATACAATACAAAGTGATGGTAGGAGAGCAGTGTCTTGCCCAAGAACACATCATCATCACCCTGCAAAGCTAGAGCCCAGACCACTCCACCCAGAGCCTAATATAGTAACCCCTGTGTCAGTGTCTCCAGCCTGTACACAGAAAAAAAAGAAAATACTGATTACCTGGCAGGATGGACATTTCCATTTCCCATTTGTCACTGTACCAGAATGAGCACACTTCCTGTGAAACACACGAGGACAGTATTCACAAGCAATCACTTCTCCTGCCTTGTGACATTCCCAACAATACCAGTCGTGAGTATTGCAACTCAATTTTTTCTTTTGTTTTTGTATTTCATCCTGTCGACATAGAAATTAAGAAAGATAATTCTTCACTAGGTTTTGTTAAAGTTTTAAAGAAAATTGTTCATTGTGAAAAGTGGGTGGTGTTCAAGGGCAAGTGATCGGGTCAGCCATGACATACATGTATCACTGTTGAACCTCGAGCTTACAACTAGACACTGACCGAGGAAACTTTTTAGAAGAGCCAGCTATGGTTGCTAACTGTCAGGTATTATACACATATCTGATATCAAATTCAAAGCAATGACTGTTTAGTTACCTTCCACCGTATCAGTAGTTAAGTCCATATGGGATTATTTTTATTAGCCTAAAACAATCAACTTATAACCATTCAGCTGTAAACTTGAGAGTGCAAAAAAGGAACAAAATAAAAAATAAATAAATATATAAGAGCATTTGAATTCCTCAAGTGTTTTTCTGGCAACTAAACTGGATTGTTAACAATGATTCCAGGCTAGAGATTGTGACCGGGATGACGCCGAGATGAAGCCAATGTAACAAACCTTTTGTTCTAGTTCTAGTCTACACACCACCTTGGTAAGGATGTTTGTATGTTTTAATTAAAAGTACTTCATATTGTCTAGTTTTACTTCTGTCCAGAGGAAAAAAAAGGAAACTTACATACACAATCCTTTGACATTGAATACCTCCACCTTTTGACAGATATTCTGTGGATAGGATCATCGTCTCTCCTTTTAATAAGGGCGCAGAATATCAAGCAGTTACTTCATATATCTTGCATGGTTGTAAGGCCAAATTTTAAACTGGCAACTAAAAGTTTACTGATAGTGATTAATATTTTCACTACTTTGGTGCTACAACACCAATAAGAAATTTCTTTTGAATTTTGGGCTGGAGATTGGGCAAGAGTTTCATCCCTTGTAACAGGGTTTTATTGAAGTTGCAGGCCTTACAAACAACTAGCACTATGATAAAAAAATAAATGATACTATGTCAGTTCAGGTTGGCTATGAGCATGTAGTTAATTCTAGCAGCAGCTTGCTACATGTATGTTTTCATTATGTTATAGCAACAAACAATAGTTTCCTGTATATGCATGTTATGTCCTTCTTCCCACACAGAGGGGAAGGTCGCTCTATTCTCGTGGCCATAATAACATTTTACCTTGTATTCATACAGAATGTTTTAAGCAAACTTTTATCAACATGTCTTTTTAGTTTTATTTAGATTATAACTAGTTTTCTCTATTGCAATAAATTTCTGTAAACCCTGCACGTTTGTTTGCAGGTGTGTTGCTGTGTAATCAATAAATAAAGACTTTTGAAACATACAGACATGCATACATACATATATTATATATATATATATGCATGTGATGTCCCATAAAACTCTTGAATTTGCTTGTTGCTTTATCAAGACTAGAAATGTCAAGGCCTTGGTTTGTGTTATCCACCCCAACCTTTGTTTGGGCAAATAAAACACCGGTCATCCTTTTTAATTGTTTCTATTACACTCAACATCCTCCAGTGATTAATGTCAGTTCATTAAAACTCTTCACATACAAACCAACAAATCTTGTTTCTTGGCCCCTCAGGGAATGTGTATAGGAAACTTTAATTAACCCACTTCATGATGTCTCCCACAAGAAGAATTAAGTGCCGCAAGAGAATCCACCTCATTGGAGACAATAGGGCTGACATTTTGCTCTCTTGGTGAAGACTGAAACCACATATGACAACTCCCAACCATCTCGTGATGGTGGTGGATTAAACGACTTTTTTTTTGACCAAGAGTGTTTTCCAAAATCAATACTGTTACTATAGCTTTCACCCTCAGTAAAGACATCAAACTTTCTCGATGCCATACATAAGTTATGCAAATGATTTACAACAAAAGGTTTTAGTAATTGAATAGAGGTTTGATGCATAACAGTGACTTGCACCACTGTTAGTAATAAACTGTAAGGCTATTAACAAAAAGGACTTATTTCATTCCTTAAGCTTGTTTCAAATACAAATAAGACTTTTTCTTTACCCATGGATCGAGATTACCATCAAGTACGCACAATAGAACTTTAACAAAGCAATCGATTGTTTCTCCGTAAGCTTCTTCTTTTCAAAGTATCGACACCTACTAAAGTCAGAATCAATGGCTCAAATAGGCTCTCGTTGATGCTAAAAGCACCATTTTATCATGACAATAAAATTAAAACCGTCACACAGGAGAGTATTTTTAACAACTACTGTATTTCGTTTCCATTTTGGATCGACACTCTTTCGCGCGAAAAAGCTGAAGTAGTATTAATAATTAAGAGCTGAAGGGAAAGTAAATTATACCAACACGGACAAAAAAGATGCAAATTAAGTCAAAAGCCGGAACCAACGAGCAGATTAAGTCTGAGAGACTAAAACGACTGAGAAGAACACGAACTGTCTGAGTTGATGTCAAAACCCGAAAAGGGGTAATGACTCGAGCGTTACACGAGGGAGAAAGTTGCCATGTCTAGAAAAGAACAGGAGCGTTCCTTTAGATCCGCCAAATAACGCAAAGTTAGCAACGCAACGAGTCAAACACTTGTTAATTCACGGCAACAGCGTTTAAGTGACCACAAACAGTAATAAATATTCATAGACGAGCATCTTTATCGTGGAATACAACAATAAGACACAAGCGCTGCTAATCTGCATGATAAGCACCATTCGAAAACGCCGAAACACACCGGGATCGTTCGTACGAGATGCAACTCACTTTGTTTTAGCTCCGGAGGAAATGATTTAAGCCCTTAACAGAATGATATCCTATATACCAAAGAGCTCAATTAATAAAGTTTTTCGTATTTTTTTTAGTGTCATGAATATTCTTGTTTGGTTAAAATCGCAATTTGCATGTTCATGGTCAGTATGATAGTAAATCATCGATGTGTATCTGCCTAAACAGAAATACTTCAGACGCAAAAAGAATAGTTACAAAAAAGACAAAAACTATCACAAACGTCTTCTACATTCACTCAACGGGAAAACCAGTTAGAGATGGGACCAGTCATCGAAACGCCCCCGCTCTTATAAGCCTATAATACATAAACAATTGGAAGTCGTAAAACGTGTACCGAATATACCACTTCCTGCACGATAAATGTGCGCGTGTTTTAAGACATGAAACCATAGGTACTCACTTCGTCTTCGCCATCTTTTCGAAGGATCCTGTAAGCAGTTTGAGGGATTCCTTTAGTACTACCATGGCTAGAAAATGTAGTCACCTGAAGAATCAAACCATCTTTAACCGCGAACTTTAACTGCTTCAGTATCTCCGCTTTACTCCAATCGAATTCTTGAAGAACCGACCGCACAATCCTGCCTTCATTCGGACACTGTTTCTGAGCGGATATCTTGACGATGGCCTCCTTCAACGCTATAACAAAGAAAGGATCAGAGTGTCTTCTAATAGAGAACTTTGCCATCACAAACACACAGACACTTTGTTTCCCCACAATGAGTCATGAGAACAGAAGAGATTATGAATGTTTCGCGGGCCCTTTCGCGTCAACGCGTGCTTTCGAATGCTTCACGAAACACAACCGAGTCCACGAACTCCTTCCGATGACGTAACGGACGAGGGCCGGACATGAACAAATGCTGACAGGATGAACACACACGTAACGATATCGGACCTTTCACACAACTTTACGCTTTTAATTTTTCCTATCCTTCCCCTCACCCAGAACTGCAACTGCAACATAACCTCATACAATGCAAGATCTCTTCGAAAGTCGTGAATAGAACGAGGACATGTGATTCATGGCGACCTTAGTTTATTAATCATGAACTTGACGATTCACGAGTGATTTTTCCACTTCCTGCGATTACCTGACATCACTGCAGCCCACACAAGTCAAATGTCGATGTGAACTCAAGCCCCTTATCATCCTGGGTCACGTTTATGGAAGGTTGCTTGAAAGCGCAAGCTTTAATAAGAGTTGAGACAATATCAAATGGCTCCTCTGTTATTCCCCTTAGATTGACGACGGCTTTAATGGAACTCTTGTAGATAAATACTTCTACCCAGCAAATGCCTCCAAAAAAGGGAATACGAGGAAAGGTAACTGGATGTGAAAGCGTCAAGAATAGTTGCCGAAGGAAAGAAAGTGGGTGGGGTAATGTAAGCAAAAATGTATTACTACTTCTTCTAATCGTCCATGGAGATCAGAGGAATTCGAAACAACGGCTTTAATGGCCACATTTTTTCGTTTCAATTGATTTTCTTTCCTCATATTTCACGTTTTCTGCATGGAATGACCACTCTTACCGTTCTCTGGCTAACCAAATTTGTCTCCTTTTCAACAAAAAGAAGGGTTAGGGTTAGGGTTAGGGTTAGGGTTAGGGACACATGGGTTATAAGGTCAAAATTAGAATATCACCTGAGGTATACATCATCCTCAAGTGTCTTGCCACTTGACGCACTTAGTTTACCAGTGCAAGACAAAAATGTACAACTGATTACAATGATCAAAATATAATATTGTATGATCATTACAACCCAGACTACATGCAGAACAAATTTTATTCCCTGTTGCTTCCTAACAACTAGATCTAATTTAATGTCAACAGACATTCAGACTAAGATAATGACACAAAGATCCTAGATTGACAAACAAAAACAGATTTACAACTTGCATTAATCAGTCGATCTTATTTACAAACATATTTACACTTGATAACAGTGAACACCAAAAAAGCTAGGAATCACAAGGAATGGAATAACAAAAGTTAAAGCAGAGTAGGTTCCCTAATTCCTTTAATGCAAGTAATTGGGTCATATAGGAAAGGATTAAGATACAATCTCTGATAAAATGAAAACATGAACAAATGTTTTTCGTTACTAGTAATACAATGGCAAGAAGAGGCATGGTCAGAGAAAATCAGTTGCTTGTGGTGATCACTAAAAAAATAGTCCTTGTAATTGTCATTAACTACTGTTTATGATTGTCCATACAGTATTTCCTTAAAATCTTGCTCTTGCTTTGAAATAGCAACTAGATGGAAGTGGATGATTATACTGCTGAGCCAGCTCAGGAACAATTTTCTATGAAACATCTGCAAAAAAAAAATAATAAAGAGATGTCTATCAAAATATAAATAGGACATGGAACATGAGAACACAAGTCATGAACTAGGGCCAAATACTTTCCCATCCACCCTCACCGAACTCATTCAATAAGCATTCTTTCACATGACCTTGAAGTTTTGAAAAATGCTAAAAAATGTGTTTTAACTTAATAACTGAGTGGGAGGTCTGTATGGGATAATCTTGACCGAGGTCGCCAGTACAGACCTCACTGCGTTCCATCTGTACCAGTGAGTGAGGTCAAGATTCTCCCATACAGACTGACCGAGCTCGGTTAATAAGATGTTTATTATGTGGCGGTCTCTTATATGCCAATTTTTTATATCCTTTGTACCTTTTTATCTAGACCACTTTCAATATTGATTTCAGCCAATCAAATTTGTGAATTCGGTAGTTCCCAGTCCTTGTGAGACAGCCATATAATAATACAAGATATAGACTAGCAACCGATAAATAGACTGGTGTGTGCAGGAAAACCACAAAAAGATTCCACAATACAAACTTTTCCTTTACTTTTCTGAGTTGAGAAAAAGCTGATATTGCATTTTGCATTGGCTGGAGGGAAGTACTATTACAAGTACCTCCTTTGGGGTAAAAATCAAAAAATGGAGACAAGATCTTAGTGCCAGATAACCAAAGCAAAATCTTAACTGCCCCTTTTCTTTTAAACATCCCCATCACATGCCTCTACAACAATTGAATTCCACTGCTTAGGTTGTCATCAAGTGTCACTGACTCATGGAAATAGAGGAAAAGAAATGCAACATGGCCAAGCAAGGCACGTGTCCATTTCACCAAATTTTTACTGTATGAAATACTACACTTTTATGGTAAAAGATCTGCATTTGCAATCCTTACATGTTGGTGCTGTCTCTTCAAATCTTCTTTGCACCTGATCATAATTGAACTTGACAAATGCATCATATTGTTCTGGAAAAGGAAACAGAAATCAAATTTAAACAAGGAAATTACTGAAAACTCCCTTCAAAACTGAACCCAACTAATGCTTTTCGGATTTCTGAAAGTGGACAAGGAAGCCAGCTTTAAACAAGCCCTTGGATTCAAATCTTGTGGTAAACAATTTTTCGGTTCCATTCCCAGAGATCATGAGAACCCTACAGTAATTTTTTTCTTTTATGTCAAAATTCATGGGAACCCATTTTGATACAAAGACCACTTTTTAAAGATTCTTAAACAAACGTGTCTGGTTTCAATCTTTTTTTCTTTGCGTCGGAAGCCCTGTTAAAAGTAAATTTAGAACCTTTCAACCGTGGAAATGACGGTAAAACTACACGCCTGGGTGACCGTGTGGGCTACAACAACCACACAATGAACTTTGGGGACGATACAAGATGGCAGACAAGAGAAGATACCATATTTATCTGCGTATAAGTCAACCTTTTAAGCAGGGTCCAAAATTAACTTTTTCCTAAGGGAGCCAACTGGTGACTAACCAAAAAATTTTGGTTGCCAGATGGACGGGTTTGGTCGCCAAAAACAAGTGTTTGTTATTTGAAAATGGTGAAGAAATACAGGTATCAAAAACTGTGTTCAGCCACCTTAACGCAATATACATACTTCACAAAAGCCGTGTAATGGTAACAGAGTCCTTCATCTCAATGAGCGTGTATGTCTGTTTGAAGAATGTTCTTGCAAAGGCTTTGGATATCTTTCTTTTATTATTTTCATTTAGTTGAAACTATGCTGGTACCCTGTTAAGTTCTGTGTACAAGACATATGGGGGCCCTCTTTCTATACCTAGATTCAACTAGGAGTGCTTGGCCGAAATGGAACGAAAACACAACAACAATCAATGTGGTAGTGCCAGGCCCTCATACTCTTACTGCTTGAACCGGTCGCCACCTAAGTCAATGGCCGCGATAAAAAATAGTGAGATAGAGACACTTTTGTTCTTTTGTACAAGCTAAAATACAATCAAACATTTATCTAAGTCGCTGAAACATTTCAGAGCGGAAGTTTAGTCTCCTGAGAGCAGCAAATCACGAAATGATCGTAAAGAGCTGATATCCATCTTTCGCACATGTAGTACTTGGTAAGACAACACCACAACTCGTATTTCAGAACTGGAATTTACAGGTATTTAAGTAAAGTATTAAGGACTAAGCGCATGTGATTCTTCCAACACTTTCGATCTCATAACGATTTCACCGCGTCACGTTTTCGTCCACGACATCCGTATTGGGAGAAGCCACTGAAACAATATGGCGCCAGGTAAATATGGCAATCGTAAAATCGCCACTTTGTTTTACTACAATTATCCACGGGAGTTTTAAGTTGTCTTTAAGAAAAAGCCCTTTTACCTCGGAATTTCAAATGCCGAGGGGACAAAAGGTTAGTCGCCTGCTGGCGACCAGTTCTAAAATTCTGGTCGCTAACACCTAATTTTTGGTCGCATTGGCAACCAGTCAGTCACAATTTCGGACCCTGTTATGACCAAAAAATCAGCCCAAAAACTCACCCTCGACTTATACATGGATCATATACAAAGACCTGACCCAAGAAATTAGCATAACAATTGCCCGAAGTCTGATAGGAAAACTGAGTTTACAAATTAAACCAGTTCTAATTGTGTACAAGTTTCGTCAGTTTTCAGCGTGTTCTTCATCAACGAAAAAGTTTGAAATAATAGAATTTACATGGCTTAATAAAGAGATCTACTGGAGCTGACATTTATTGTATCTTCTGAGCTGTAGAGCAGACATTTTTCCTTACAGCTTTTCACTATCCTTAATTCTCGTTTTCATCAAACGATTACAGTAGCTTAGTGACCTGGCAAGTGCTGGCAAGTTTCCCAAGATGGTGGTGTTTTCATCAAGTGACCCTTAAGAGCTCTTCAGCGTTCCTTCAGTCTACTAAATATCCTTTCAAACTCAACATTAAGATAAAGGTTGTTTAAGTACACGAAGACTTAATTTTCAAAGCAAGTTACAAAATATGGAAAATTACTTCTCCAGTAAATCAAAGTGCTTGCATAAACTGAAATCGTGAATCGTGGTGATGGAAACAGGTGCTATTAATCTTCACAGCACAAAGTTACATTCTGCACTGCAGTTTTTATTCAATTCACCCATGTTTTCAATATGTTCGCAGAAATAAGAGATCAACCATTTGGGAAATTTATACACGGAATAATACGAGGAACAACATTTCAGTTTCGTATGTGTTAACCAGAGAGATGCCCAAAGAATTGCCCTACTAGTTGAGAACCACAGTGAAAAAACTTATATCAAGAGAATTTTGATTGGTAACGTTTAATATGTCAATGGGAAACTGTTCCTCAGTTCTGTTATTTCTCAAGCAAGGTGCCGACACGTTACCGAAAACGATTGTTACTGTGAAATCCTAGGGCTTGTTTAAACAGGGATTATTGTGCACTTCCTTGCTTTGGAACCCAAATAACATCAAAACCAAAACTGATACACAAAGAAATTAAAGACTTTGTATGTCTGATGGCATAATTTCCTCGATTTTCCAATTTTTTAACCTTTAGAACATTTGAAAATGAAATTCCATTCCATAGAGGAAATCTGTCTCACATGTTGCAAACATGTAGTTAGGTCAAACAATAAATCAATGCCATCAGGTGCTACTCTTCCTTTTATAATTTTACTGTGTAAATCAATCCTGTCAACTACAGTTTAATCTAGTGACAGATGAACACAAACAAAGAAATTCGTACTGCTTGGTCAAAAAAGCATTACAGGATAGCTTTCCTTAAAACAAGAAATAAACATCTCCACATTACAGTGAACCTTCCTGTATGTTACACAAAATGATATTCAGTCACTAACCTGCCAGTTTTTCTCTTAAAACTTTATCATATTCCTCTGTAACTTGAGCTTCTCTTTCTTTTAGCATTCTTTCACAGATGAATGTTACTTGCTTTAGAGTGAAAAGAGGTTGTTCTTTCCTTGGGGGAGAAGATCCAGGTGAATACGAAGAGAAAGTACTCATTTCAGGAGAACTTGGATATGGTACTCTAAAATGCTTTCGCCTCTGGAGTCTTCTCCATTCCTGATGAATGTTGGCCGAAACTTGATCTAAACGTTGAAGGAAACCAAAAAACAGTTACCACAGTCGCATTCCCAAAAAGGAAAAAATAAGCAGAATTCTTATTTGAAGTTAAAAAATTGCTAATTATTAAGAGCCACAAATCATAGAATAGTATATAAAACACTTGACAAAACATATGTATCATCTCTCTATTAAATCCTTTATGTTGATTATTAAAACCAACAACAACCGAAGTTCTATGGGACACTGCTTTTAAAATGGTTTGTCTTCTATTGCTGCAAATCACTCACACACACTGAAAAATAATGAACCTTTAAACTCTGAATTGATGAGAAACTAAATTTCACAGAATTATCACACCCCATCTAAGTAAGTAACTGTCATTCAGCTATATCATGAGTGTTCTCACAGAAAAGCTAATCTTTGAATTCAAGGATGTTTCAAAGACAACATCTTTGTAAAACCTTCCCAGACCTTTACCTTGATATCACACAAACTAAAAAAATCTTAATTTTAATATTGGGTAGCAATGATATGAAGAAAGCTGACAAGGCAGATACTCCCTTCTCAAAGGGTTCCTTTTCATTTAATATGTTCTGTCCTAAAATAGGCTAAAAATATGTAAAAGTTAATTTTCTCACTTTTTATAGCTAATGAAACTGAAAACTCAAAGGGATTAGTAATCTTTTCAGTTTGGAAATATGACAAAGTCAAATGCCAACCCGCACTTTAAAGGAGAAGCCATAATCCTACAAGATGAGGGTGTAAAAAAAAGGAAAATGCGTCATAAGCAAGGTGAAGCTTGCACCATTTCTGAAGCAAAAAGTTTCTGCCTGAAATACAGTGTACATGAGCCTATTGCAACTACAAAACCCTAAATATGTATTTCAAACATTCAGCTCAATACAAATCAAATTGATAATTAATTTTCAGATTTTAAAAGTGGACATTTTTCGAGAATGATCTCATTCCATCAATATCTCTGCATGAAATCAAATGAGGACCACAGGTCTTGTCTAAATATTTAACTATATGCATGGACACAATATATCTAAAATTAAAAAACAACTACATATTGTGGACCGACTTGATCATTCATTCTACCAAGATTTCTATGGGAGCAGTTTAATATATCAAACATTTAGTTATGAAAAAATTAATTTAAACAAGCTAAGCTTTTTTTTATAAAACAAAAAATCTCTTTCTTTCAAGTCCTCAGACAAATTTCTGGTCTCATTTGCATTTCAATATGTATACAAGCAAGAAACGAACAGATGAATGTAAAGGTCTTTTTCGCATCATCATACCACATGTCCTCATCTATGTGTAACAATGAAATTGTCCAGTTTAATACAAAGAAAAAATCCCCTGCAGAACACCTATTGACACCCACTTCGCTATCAAATAAAGCAATCTTTTTTCAAATTTTCGTTTCAGTGCAGTGGGTAGATCAGTAGACATTTGTGAAATTCCATTCAAGTTTGCAACAATTTCGCAAGAAAACTAGACGCAAACTCGTCAACAAAAGCAATTCTTCAGGATTAAATACAACTAGAGTCGTGAAGAAAAGCTTACAATATAAAAAAATCACATTTTTAACACCCAAGCCTTGAAGAAAATGTGCAACCACATGAGCTTATCTTGATCTCGTTTGGCGTCATCCACAAGCACATATCTACCTTTCGACTCAAATAGTTTTTGCAAATTGTTCCCAAGAGATTAAATTGGGAATCGATAAATGTATTCAGCAGTCTCTCTAGTCCTACACAGTAGTACGTTAAACAATGCCTCGCTCTTGCAAAACAAAAGAAGAATTTGAAAACGTATAGAACAGGGAGAAAACAAAGACTACCTTACAGAGACAAAGTTCGCCAACCCACTATAACCTCGACTTTTGGGTTAATTTCAAAAGAAATGAATAAAGAAATGCCACCCCCATAGAAGCTGATGCACAGAAAAAACTTTTCGCCTTTACAAATGAAAACGATTTCGCTAAAGGATTGTGTCGCAGTGAAAACTCAACGAACCTTAAAACGCCGCAACGAAAAGTTCAGCTAAAAACCGATTATGACATAGCAAAATTAAACGTTACCTTGTGATAATCTTGGAGCTGCACCACGGAAATGGGATTCTGTTGAAACTGACGGAGGAGGGGTTGATGGTTTTAGCGGAATGCATCTTCTCCTTTTCGGTGAAGGTTGATGTTGAGGCGTAAGGAGAGGGTCGAACTCATAAGACCTCTTAAGAGTAGCACAAGCCATGTCGTTTTAACTTGTTCCTTCTTGATAAAATTACAAAATAAGTCAAGCCTAGGGCAGATGAGTAACTTAAGACTTGACAAAGAACCCGAAAATTATTTTACAAAGACGATGCACTCAAGATGAAACAGATTTCGACACTACTATCCCCTGAAGAAGAACGACTAACTCAAGATGGCGGCGATGGTAACTAATTTGGTTGTTTTGAATCGTCGATAATCAACCAATCACAGCAAGAGCTGAATCTTGCCTCGATTCCATGGTGCCAAGTTCATCGTGGGATCGTGGGAGGGAGAGATCAACTGTTCTTACGAAAAATAATATTGTATCCCAGAATCCTTCATAAAACACAGGTGTCCCAAGCTCAAGTCTCGAGAAAAAGCTGAAAGCTATTTCATGAAAGCGTCACGCGTTGTGTGACGCGGTGTTAAGATACGCGAGAAACCGTTACATACCTACATACATACATACATACATACATACATACATACATACATACATAGACTTTATTTAATCTCGAATTTAGAGTAGCTAAAAGATAAGCTAGTATCTTCGAGTTACAAGTATAATTCTAAATACTACTAAAATGTAAAATGTAAAATTGTAACATTCTACAACATAACTATAGAATCTTGCGCTTGAAATCAGAAATGTCAGACGTTCTAAAAGAGTCCGGAAGAGAGTTCCATAGTTTTGAAGCCATATATGAAAAGGAGTGAGGACCATAAGTAGTAGTTTTTGTAGACGGTAGAGACAAAATATAATTTCCGCGTAGATTATAGGATACAGACCGGAAACTAAACATATTCCTTAGATAGCCTGGATAGCAGTTAAAAAACAAGCTCTTGTACAATATAATTAAGAAAGTCTGAAGACGTCTTTTATACAGAGATTTGGAGTTAACTTTGCTAAGTAGAGAGTCATAGGGAGAATTATAATCCTGCAAGATAACTCTAAGAATTCGCTTGTTTAAAGTATCTATCTTCTCAGTACTACGCGCACCACAAAAGTGCCATACAGACGAACATCATCAAGCTAGTATGAGAATTATTTATTTCCGTTATCGTTTCCTTCATTTGAGAAATACCCTATACCTAATGT